AAATTCGATTCTAACCGTCACCGTGAAATACAGCCATTTGACGCATTTGAATACTAGGCCGCCTTTATAATGACGAAATGTTCACCTCACGTTAAGCTCTCGAGTTCGTTCAGAAATTCAGGTCTTTCTACTCGGACCTTATGTGGCCTAAACGAGGTTATCCTTAACTGATCAGATGGCACTTTTTGATTTCCCTGTTGGTTAGTAGAAGTAACAGCTGCACGTCAACCCAGTGTGATCTTTATACTCGTGAACTCGTGGTAAAATGAGGATTTACAGCGAGGCACGTACATCGCTTGAAAAAAGCGGTGATGAGTGTCAGTATTTCAAAACGACCTTCCTTTTTTTCCGGTGGCCAGAGTCAAAGCGTACAGCACAGCGAAACTGATGCCTGATCAGAATCCACGCAGTTGATCCAAACGGACTACAGTTTTATGCTGACCAGCGACAACAGTAGTATATCGCATGGTTGGTGTCTGGTGAGAGCAATATCGGAAGTTGTTGCTCGGTGAGCAGCGCTAAACTGAAAGAATTGAATGATCTACTGGAATATCAGGGAAAACTGACTCCCTTGGGAAGGTTTCAAATGCCTTCATCATCAAACCACCATCCAGTGCGATTCTGTATGTACTTCTCTCAGTTCTATGGGTTTTTCTTCTTTCCATGTTTAATAAAATAGCTAATATTGCGAAGTATGCAGAGGAATATTTGTTTTTCTATTTAAATCCGTTCAGATCAAGTACAGCAACCTGAAATAACCTTTGAGCTGTACTATCCCATATTGACTCTTCGGATCCCAACAGATGGAAGTGTCGCGTTGGCTAATCGTCGTTGGGTTGAATCAGCCACCCGTTATTCTTTATCAAGTGATAAAATATTTTATTATTATACATTTCGGCTCTTAACATGAGGCCCTCACTGAAGTTGCGCTATGAGTGAGTGCCATTTTTTATTTAACATTTGGACAAATGTATAGCTGGATTCTGGACAAACAGATTACACGGAACCTTTGTGCGTTCTGCCCTGACTGACCGCAGGCCTGGGTAGTCTAAATACATTGAGAATGTAATTTACCTCAATATATGTAAATTAAAAATTTTTAGCTAGTTGATAACGAGGATCATAATAATTGACCGTAGAAGTAAAATAAAATACGTAATACATTGAAAATATCCACCATTTCATTGGATACATAACTAATTGATACTTTGAGCTTTCAAGGATAGATATTTTCTTCTGAAGTTTACAAGTACCAATTCTGTAAAACTTTCTTATTCAACAATGTAAACCGATGACAAGAATCAATTTCATTCTAGGAAACAGCCTCGAAAGATTGACCAAAATTATTAGTCAATCCCCAGGTAAAAAGAAACATAATATTGCCTCTTGCTTATCCATTCAAGGAACGAATTAATCGAGTTCTGATCAAAAAATCAGTAAAAGAAAATTGGTTCGCTCGGAATGCGCTTACGACAAGAAAAGTTCTATTAAGTGAACCAAATTAATCTAAAAACGTGAAAAATACCTCTAAAGTTGCTGCGAATCATCAACCAGGTTCACAATGCTTATTGATCGGGTGGAGGCGTGGTGGTAAACATTACACCCAGGGGATTGTGTACGTAACTCCACCCCCCCCAGCTTAAATTACTGCATCCTGTGTTGTAATGCAGCATTTTGATTAATCGTTCCTCCTATACATAAAATTGAATCATTGTATAATCAATAAAAGTAACAATAAAAATGAAACTAAAATTGAACTAAGGAAAACCCTATCAAACTATTAGATCAAGCCGGGCGAATGAGATCTTCGTAGCTAGGGCGTATTTGGGGAGTAAACGGGATATAGGAGATTCACGGATAAGCCAACTTTCTTAGAGAAAGGAACCACTAAGGTTATTGCCTGTTTTCGGGAACATTTCTGTCAGGCATTCAGGTAAATCTCATTGTAAAACACGAAAAATGAAAGTACAACTTGTTATATTGTAATATATTGGTTTGTTACACTTTATGGATAACAAGAGCAACAGGACTTTGCAATATTACCAAGGTCCTGTAGTTCAGTGCAAAATACCTGATCCAAAGTATCAGCTTAATGAAAGAAAGATACAAGTATCTGAAAATAGGTCCATGCAACTAACCGACAAAACAGAAGTTTAAATATTTTATTCACTTTCGAATAAACGGCGATTGTATAAAATGACTGAAACACCGATAGGGAGTCGGGATTTATATGCATTCGCCTCGCTCGTTATATCTCTCCGAGTGTACTGCAATTATGCCTGCCGATTTTAAGTTGTAACCGTTTTCGTCTCAACTTACCTTCTCAAGTTGGATCAGTCAGAAGCGTTTGGAGTATCTGGGAGAACGATGTGGTAATATCTAATTGGTATAAGTAATTCACTCACCAATTCTCTGTTAGCCAATGAGAGTGATTTAGTTATAAATGATCAAAAATGATCAAATGATCAATCATCACTATTAGATTTGATTAAATGGACATAGATGCACGAATTTTACATGCTTAACCTGCTTATCAGTAGAATTCTTTAATGAACTTCACCATTTGTCAATAACTTCAATTAGGCGGCAGGCGACCATATACATTTTTGATTTAGGAATGATCACGTTGCCTTTAATAACTGCACATAGAAATTTGTTCTTGTCACCAATTTTGACAATGTGTGCTTTATAAATAAAAACGCTTTCACAGAATAACTATGTAGAATATGCAAACATTTAATTGTTTTCTGATTTCTATATATTAAAGGCAACGTGGAAAATTATGCATTAAGACTTTTTTTCCAGAACGCAAAATATCCCTTCGTAAAACGATTTACGAAGTCAGAATGCACCATTAGAAATGAACGTATTTTTTCTGTTCCTTCTAAGATGTTGCACAAGCTATTTCTACAAATTGCTTGGTAACCCTAATTGTCCTATATTTTCTACCGTGAAAAGACGATGAGCAACTTCGTGACGTTCCCTGTGTCTTGTATTTAGGTAATCTGCAGTGTCATCCTAGTTTCCCATATAGTTTGTGACGTCTTATCGGTTACTAGGGTTACTGTAGCTGTCCAACATGATAAAAAATGTATAATGTGGGTCGTCCAAACTAAGCTCCACGCTAGCTTTGGTGAGGCAAAACCTCATTTTGGATTATTTAGTCAACTCATACCCAAATTTAGGGATACAATTATCTCCGACGTAATGAATAACAAATCAATTAAAAGCTGTTTACAGAAAATATTATTAATAACAATAGAAAATATATTGGAAATCTTTCTTTCACATTCTTATATATTTTACTTTTGGAAGGTTTCTTTCCAGAGAAAGTATTTATGGACCACTTTTATAAATTAAAGTAATTCCAATTGGCATCGCTTTTTGGCTTCGACTTAGGCGAAACATTTTCAACCCATTTCTGTCGGGAACAGTGATCAAGTAGTCACGGATTACTGAATGGTCAGCATGCAAACACAGACTACTCTATGGAGGTTAGGAAATACAAGAGATTCACATCTGCAGAAAGTTTACTTGAAGATTAATTTTTTTCTTTTTCACTTTTCCATTTTTACTTTCTTTTATTGAATACACAATGATTTTCAGGAAGAGAGAAGAGGCCAATCAAATGGCTGCCATGCTACACACAGATAAGGAAAAGTCACGCGGTGGTGGTGGGATTAGAACACACGTCCCCCGGGGTGGTAATTTGGTTACCACCGGTCCACCACCGCAACGGGTCTGTAAGGATGAGTTTGGCTGTATCGTTTAAAGAAAAATTGAGACTATCATCCCATCAGCCGGGTGCCCCACACTGCAATATTATTATTTATTATTTACTTTATAATGATTATTAACGTCACTCGTGTTTGGCTGAAGTAACACATTTCACCAAATCATACGTTTTTTACAGCTTCAGGTGCAACTACATCGATCAAATACGAAGGCAACCAAGAACTCGAACTGAGCAGCACATTCTAAGTGTTTATTGGACATTGACCGTGGTCATATCAAGCATTCAATTTCAAGTGATTTGTTATTTTGACTTGTTAACAATACCAGAACAATCAAGGTGACGCAAAATCCTCAGATGTGAAAACATTATTACTTTCACTGGTGCATGGTTGCGAATTTGAAAATTTCCAAGTACTTACTTTTGTGTGTGAAGCGTATTGGACATAGACGCTGCCTGGATTAAGTGAAGACTGCCAAACAACCTGTGTCATTGCCACAAGTTTCACGCTTACATACGGTTCACGCTCGCGCACACCCACACCAACGACGTCCAGTAAGGCGAGCTCAGACCACACTCTCAAGGACGTCCACTCACATGCTGTTTATACATAAACAACGTGACGCTTTCAATCACCAGTCCCGAGATCATAAGTGTAGCACCCGTCCTGTAGTATCACTATGGCAGTGGGATATTTGTTTCTACACATTTTTGTAAACTATTAAAGTTACATTATAAGATGAGATTCCCTTGGTCAACCTCACAATGACCGTGATGAATAAGTTAAAGTTTTCAAGTTATAATCCGTGCTTTGTTGTGTGTGCTGACGTAAAAATGAATTTCACGATGGAAATGATCATCAAATGAATCATACCTTCAATATAGTGAGGGGCGGCTCCCCGCAAATAACCAGCTACTAATGATCTTGCTGCCGAAAACAGTCAATATTTTATACCAGATTTTGAGGATGAAAAACTAACAAGAAAATGTCAACACTAGAGAGAGAGAGTAACATAAAAATGTATTTCAGAGACTTTTTTGAAAACCAGTGACCTAAACGATAGATAGTTTATTCACATTTTGATTGAGATGTTCTAAGTTACAACATAATTTTCATTGATCCTAACAAAACACATCAACTGAAATAAATTAGAAAAATATCGTTTTATTCCTATAAAATGGAATGGAGTAATTTTTAGTAGCTGTGCATTATTTCTCTATAAAAGGCAAGGGATAAGCGTAATTGGACAAGGCATTCGTCAAATCTTTAAGTTTCCTTTTCTAACAACTCCGGACTACACTGGCGACGAACTCTGTGGAACAGGGCTCTTACCAATCCAATCTTGTAACGTAGGAGACAAAAGCTTCGGAAATGCAAATAGTAGACCGTCCATATGCACTTGTGGTGGATTGAGGTCAGTCTGAGGTCAATCTTATCAGTTATAGGCGTGGGATTGGTAATGGTCCATTCGTCCCACATTCCAAAGTGAACTTGATATTGTTCTCCATCCCGTGCTATTTGTTGAACTAAAACATGGTATGTGTTTGTATGGGGTTATCGCTAATGTGTCCTCAAAATAACGGCGATAAAACACTGAGGATTTGAGATTTTGTTGCCGATATTACTAGAGAGACAATAACTCAAAACATGTTTTCCAGATTATTTTTATAAAATAGCGACCTAAAAAAGTGAAATTATTTAACTTTTGACCGATATGGTCTCAGTTGCAACATGCGTTTCATCGAGGCTAAAAACCATCGCATAACGTGAACCAGAGAAAAATTGTTCTATTCCTATTAAATGGAATGGAGTAATTTTTGTGGCAATCTCGGTCACAATAGACGTGAAGATTCAGAGCTACTCTGCCTCAAGATTGATTAGCACAACAAAGAAAACATTGTCAGGTAGCTAACATGATTGCATATATCTAAGCAGGAACATTTCTACCGTTACCGTTGTATCTAAGAGCGGTATATAAACTGACAGACAAAGATGAGTAAAACGAAGGATGAACCCAGAGTAAATTCTGCAACCCAAATCGAAAACTGAACTGAACCCACTCGATTCAGGTTAATGTGCAGATCACTTCGAAACAATACGTATGTGTGGTTCACCAACCCATAGCAACGAGCGGGATGATTAGCCCAGTCGCTGTTGCCCGAATAGACCATTTTTGTAAAATCACGAGCCATGAGGTAAAGAACATAGGTGACCAGAACCTCCGGTTCCTAAGAGGAGAGAGAGGGAGAGAGAAAAAGCATGACGTTCAACAATCTGGTGAATCCATTTCCCACGGAATGAATGCAATGATGAAATTATTGCTCAATAATTTGCCTTCAAGAAAGTGAAACAGTATAAGGTTCGTGAGTTATATCAAGCCAAAAGCACTTATCCAATGCTATTAGACGAGCGAAAGGTTAGCATTGCATTAGCAATAGCTATATCAAACACTTCATTGACTCAAACAAAATTATATCGTGGAAGGTGCACATAACATAAATTTTTGGATTGGGATGACTTTTGGTTTCAAGTGTTGGGGGTAGAATTCAGAAAGAGAAGCAGAATCTTCCCGTGTTTTTTCCTCATCGCGCCTATTCTATCAGTAGGATGCACAAGTTCTCCAGTGTTACCTTACGGGATTTCGATTCGATACTGTGAAAATCTAATAACGTCCAACAACCGTTCAAATGAGATTTAAGTAACAGAAATGATTCAACGCCTTTAGGTGCACTAGACGCAAACAAAAGTCAAACTGATATTCAAAGCGATGGAGTTTTCAACTGAGTGACCGAATGTTATTCTCTGAAGCCTTATTTTCTGCGTACTTCTTCACACATCCACGAAGAACAGGATTTATTGGTCGTACGACTAGAAGTATATGTTATCACGTTCGTGGACAACACATCCGGGTTAGAAGGAAAGAAACTAGGGTAGCTACGAGAACGAATCATTGCGTCTAATCTCTAACAGCTTCGAAATAGCTAACCAAGAACAGCCGGGTACAGCACTGACAATCACGGTTGCAGGCATTCTCGTCCACAATCAACCTTGTAATCAGGAGCAATTTTCGTGAGAGACGCAATTCCCTTGGGACAGTTCATAACTTCAGCACGCACGCCATCAGATGAGAATTTGACCATGTGATCATTTTCGTTATAGGTACTCCTATATTCTTAGAAGTCCAACTGGATACAATTATACTGATGTTGAAATTCACATTTTTAGGAGTGGAAGCACGCTTAAGCAATGTGATTGAATATAAAAAACGGATTCTCCTTAGATTTGAACCAGCTTATTCGGGTTAAAAATGTTTCCAACCGAGTCGGAACCGCAGAAACTAGTGCTGAGATGACAGAGGCGTGATGCCCGCAACAAGCTCGTGAAGATGGGTCGTGTTATATCGTGCAAATAAAAAATGATAAGCCATTTATTCTGCTGCTGTTGCCAGAGTGGGTAGGGTGCAGCGGTTCACACTACTGATGAGACCGAACCAAGTCGAAACAGCTGTACAGTATTTTTCAACTTTTTAGTTCACGTTTCATTCGCTCTATGCATGACAAATTCCCCTATGAAATGCCTTAATTACCGAGTCTGGTCTGCAGAATATTAACTGCAACTTGGTGTAAAAACCACGGCGTTCATTATCTGTTGATGTCTGTTTATCATTTTGAGGAATAAATTTATCTTTTGTATCACTTTGGGGAAACTTGATTTGAATCAGAACTCGGAGTATGAGTCAACGCCTTTCAGTCAGTTTGGTGTTAATATACGTTTAATAAAATACATTTACATTTATTCCGAACAGCATAAATTACATTATTTTTTGTTTCCTCATCATCTATTTCTTTTCAAGTATGATGTAAATTCCTCGGGAATTCTGTTATTATTAGGTTTGCTGTACAAGCGCTCAGCCTTTGATGAGACAACCAAATTTCGCTGGACACAGGATAGGAATATTTAGGATAAAATTCTTGTTACCTCTGATTTCTTAGAGTACGAAACCTAATTGTTGTGCATTTTCATAATACAAGAAAGAAACACAAGATATTAGGTTATTATTTCACGATGACTGAAATCAGCACTAGGCAGTTATTGGTTGCGTTTGTGGTTGTTGTTTTTGTTGCTTGGTGGGATTTGTCACAATCGTCCGTTTTCTCTGGCTAAACCCGTCGAGCTTCCAGGCTGATAGTCAAAATCTTTCCATCCGTCGTGGTCGCTTTGTTTTCAGCAACTATGGGTACAATGATTTGGAGATAAATCTGCAGACCTATTTTCATTTTTCCTCCTTTCAGTTTGTCCTTAAGTCAGTGATCACGTCTCGACAGCATTTCTGGAACAAATCGATTTGCTCTAACAAATAAATCCCAAATCTTCGTCAAATCAAATTTGAGACAGTGGTTTTTTAGGCCGGGTGAATACCACACCGCGTGAGGTCAAAATATAATATTACATTTGGTACGAGTGAATTTGTTGTTGTTGGATTTAGGCTATCAATGAGCAACATACAGTATTCTCAAAAACACAAACGGCTCCTCATGACGTTTCTACGTTCCCTGCACACTGAATAACTATAAAGCACGAATGGAAGATGAGTACTTATTCTTACGTGCACATTTTATTTCACTAATCTCAGGCGATTAGGTGTCGCCCGATTAAGCAAGTATTTTTTAAACAAGGAAGAAAATATTCACAGAATATGAACTACGCGAAACTCTGTCTTCCAAATTGATGCATGCTTCAACCACGGATTGGATTATGTTGTCGCTCGGTTAAGCGTCCACACACACACTCGCACAGTAAATTTGGGTTTCAATTATTTTGATTGCAGCATTTGAACATAATATGTAATGATTTTTACAGGGTATCTTCAGCGTCAATTTTTAAACTTACCCCAGTGAACTTTAACAGATTCTTGATCTGGTCCATTTAGTTTTTACGGTTCTCACTATCCCCACTGCTTTCCTGTAAATAGTCCAGTTTTCTAAATCACGTTTTCTATCTATTCCTGCGTTTGAATGATGTGAATAGTTCATGTAATATTGTACAGAATTAGGCAAGCCCTTTACTCAAATTAATATCCATATGCATCTTTCATGCTTGTACAATCATTGCGGGGTGTCGTGTACACAAACAATTTCAAATCGGTTAGCGATATTCATTTTTACATGTTTATCGCCGCATCTCAGTTTTTCTTTGTCCGGTTGTATACTGCAAATGCATTTTTGTTTATCCCAAACAAAAATGGATTCCTATATCCAATTTTGGCGAGTCAAATAACCTATGTGAAGGAGATGTTATAATAAAGATCTCAAATTAAGACACTTTGATGCACGACGTACAGGAGACACTTACCGTGTAGTTGTACAAGTGACAAGAGAACACACGCGCGACGAATAGTCGCATTAGATCATCCTCAATGTTAAGGAAACAATCTTGATATTCCATCACTGGAAATTGTCTAAACCATCCTAGGTTTGGTCTATCCGTGTTTATCATTTCAGGGTCATCATAGTTCTTTGAGAGCAATTCCCGTAGTTCTCCCGGTGAAAAATCGATTAGATTCCCAAGAAACCAGAGACGTTGCTCAGTAATGAGATGTTTTTTTGCCGCCTTTAAGTAAAAAGGGGAACAAATGGACAATCATTCACTGATGACATAAGTCTGCAAAATGATCGAAGTGTTCATACAAACAATAGAAATTGAAGATGCAATCCATTTTTGAATCGGTAACGTTGCCTGCGCAAATGTGTAACCCTGGATAACCTGCATTGGTAATATTTGACTAAGTGTTTGCGTTTGAATATTTTGAGTCCATGATATTATGTTTATTTTCCTTGAAAGTCAGCATATCCCGACCATGATGAATTGTGTGATAGTGTGATCTCAGGATACCTCAATCTCGTTCCTGTCGCTGGGCATAAGATATCGGCGCAAAGGGAAGTAAAACTATTTTTGATGGGTGAATTTGATTCGTCGAGAAACAGAAAAAGAATTCTGACATTTTTAGTCATTCAAAGAAGGATAACGCAATCAAGATTAGTTCCAATCATAATTCACCTTGATTTCAATTTCCAATACCCATTCTGAGTCGGGTGCTTCGCATCCTAAGACGACATTGTCAGCTTATTCACAGCCAATACATGTAGAAAGAATGGTAAACGGTATATCATTCAGCAATAATACAAAAGGGGACAAACTACACGTTGCAGAACATACTAAGAAACCGGGTGACTAGAAGATTTCTTGCCAGCAAACCACACAGAATGCTTTCGATTTATGAAGCAATCACGAATCAATCTGCAACCTTCCGGATTACCACCACTTTTGGTAACTGATTTCAGCAATACTGATCGTTCAAGACCGCCAAATACGGTTTTATAGTCAAAGCGCATCATTCTGACGACCTTACACTTCCTGACCAAAGCTAAACCCATTGAGTGAAAACGATAAGCAACGGCAGTGCGCATGGAGCGCGCAGAGTGATACGCGGCAGAATATGTGACCAAACACAGTAGCAAGATTCTCTCATGAGAGAGCACTTTTCACCTTCCTTCCCAGGGACGACAGTAATCTTAGTTAGTCTTCCAATATCAGGAGTGCTTTCTTTCACTTATAGGACGGTTATTGAAGAGATTAGATAGTGGAACTGAGTTTTCGCACTTACCGTGAGTACCATGGGTGGTAGTATTTCCGGACCAGAAGCTTTTTAATCTTAGTTTTCTGCGGCTGCCGGAGGACCAAGGCGGGTTCTATAATTATTGGTGGTGCGGGGTTGCCTCAGTCGGTTAGAGCTTTACAACGAGAAACTTGGCTGAACCGAGAATTAATTGTTTCAATGTCGACAGTGCCAGTTTATTGTCTAGTGGTACTGCTACACAGCATTTTATGGCTACTTGCTACGACAACTGAAGTTTCCCAAGACAGTTTCTGTAGACAATTTATATAAACTATTGATTTCAATTTGGGTCAACCGTGTGGGCCTGTTGTCGTGTGTTCCTTGTATAGGATTGTACGACTGTTCTTTCCTCAGGCGTAATAAATTAGGCAATGCTGTCAAATCACTATCCTTACATATGATGAAGGTTTGAAACCGGCAACCCTGACTGAAAAAAAATTTAAAATAATCAGCAACGTGTTCGAGAAGGGAAGATGGATATCTATCTGGAAACACGGAAAAATCTGTTCCGACAATCAAAGATCTTAGGCTTCCTAGGTTTTCCGACGATTAGTTCATTTGATTCGTTATCTTAGCTGGTCTCTATCACATCATGTACCGATTAGTAGTACTGCATGCAGTAAGACACATCTTTAGGATTCAATGATCACAGTTACTCAGATGTGCAAGTTTCTCAATATTGAAAACGTGTGATCTGTTTGCAAAAACAAAGACTAGGTGTGAATCATCTCTGGTAGAATTGATGTACCAAATTTGGAAAACCAGTTGTGTCAATGAAAACCGCCGAAGTACAAAATAGACACAAAGGGTAACTTGTTCGGGCTATCACATGAAGACAGGCACGAGATCAGACAATGTACTCAGTTCAAATGCTAATATATGAGGTGTCATTTAAATTTCTCCGATGATTTCGGCACGAAATCCACTCGAACAAATAAGGCCTACATTTGGTGACGTGGAAACTGACTTAGTCCGTCAAGTGTTCGTAAATCAAGACTGTTAAATTACTCCAGTTCTTTGACATGACTAGAACCATCTCTTCCCCGCTTGCGAACACTCGTGGATGGTCGACCCACTAAAATCTATAACCATCCAGTTGAAGTAATAAACTGGGAATTTCTTTCTCGATAAGTGCGAAGTAAGGTATGAATGATTCATTTTCGATAAAGACTAGAGCGCGAATTAAAGACTATAAGTTGGTTTGCTGAATGTGTGTAAGGGAAACATTCGTAAAGATCATTCTGTGCGGAATGATTTTGCTCTGATTGGACTTGATAGCTCCTTGTTAGCAAAGAGGACAGAAGCCTGGATATCAGTTTCACGAAAACTTGGAAATAAAACATGTAATATCTCTGCGGAAACAGTGTTTATGACATCCGCTACATGAAAACTTAGCCCAAAGTATTTTGGTTACTTGACCATCGAATACTACAGGAGAGAAAGGCAGAAAAATTCCAAAAGAGCTTTGGTCATGAAGAAAATTTTCACTTGCTAACACTCCTCCAACAACCTCAGCTTTCGAATCGGGGAATGCAAAGCAACTATTTGCAACCGGTTTTTACAGTGCTTCTAAACTACAAAAACTTACTATGGAGATTAAACCTAGGTAACCCAGTAGGTTAAACAGTAACTCTCGTACGTCATTCCGTGAGTTTTTGAAGAAATATTTTTGAAAATGTGGGAAGTATTGCAGAAATATTGAAACAGTCCTGATTATGTGAGAAATCTGCGCCATTATATAATTTATATCGATAACCGTAAACAAATATTTAGTCTGAATGTCTCTTTGTGTTAAGACGTGTTTGCGTGGAAAATTAATTTTCATAAATTTGATTTGGTTGTCATGTATGCTAATGGGAACGTACGTACGGGGGTGAATTATTATGTGCCCTCTTTGGTTGACCATTCCTGCTTCCATTTATTCATTCGATATTTTGGTATTTCTGAATAACTACAAAGAGTTGGTTTAAGAATGAAATTTGCATTATTTGCCTGTCCTTGCGGAAAATGTAATAAAACGTCATTCACATTACATTCACAAAGCCGTACACGCGTAGACCTTGTTCCTTAAAACCGGGTGCATTTAACAGATCTTCTCCCTCGTCAACACAATCTTAGNAATCTTAGCAAATTTTCTCATGCAATATTTTTTCGCCGTGTAATGATTTGATTTTTTGTCTTTATGGAAATACTCACGATATGTTTTGTCTGACCGTATACTGGACACAAATGACAATACTATTTTGTTGCCTTGAAATAGGATGCAATGTTTACTCAATAACCATCATTACGTGATTCAACAGTGATGTGTAACAAGGTAGTTTTCAATAACTGTTTCATCCCAGCATCTCAAAAATATACATGGANAACCAGGTTGAAAATAATTTTGGAACAAATTTGCGTCGTTTGTTTAATGCAACTGTGGTGCAATGTAATTGGGAAAAGTCTCGTTGCAGGTTGCACCTTCTCGTTGAAGAATACCAAGATCCTCAAAATATGAGTAGATTGCACATTCAGTTTCGTTTCAATCTTCATATTGGTGAATGACAATTAAAAACCAAAATGTTGGAATTGGGGCCAAATATTTTATTGTTATATTATATTGTTGTGATGTACTACTCACATTTGTGAGTAGTGTGTAAAATTGCTCGGGATTTCTCCCGAAGATCAAAAATGAACAAGACCACCGAGATTAAACTGCTTGGTCTCAAAGAACAACTACCGAATGCTACATTCATTACATGGTGTGTTACCAGGAACTGCGATGGTATATTTCAGATGAGATTTCTGTTATATATACCAAATTAGTGATGTCCCAAATGTAATCTACAATAAACAATTATCCACGACCGAGCACCACCTTGTGAAATTATAACCTTACAAGAAGTGATTCCTGGATGTCTGTAAATGTCTTCTGTTCGTTAGGGTAGTGATCAGTATTATCCTTAGATTTAAAAAAAGGCAAAAAACAATGAAGTGACAGCAAAACCCACTCAAACTCTCTGAGCCGGGATAAACTCACCATTTCGATTTCCTTCATTGGTCGCCGATCCTCGGTGAACAGAACATGGTATTTGGCTGCAGTGTCATCGTTTTTATCCAATAAGTCGTTCCAGAAATCTAGCAGATCGCTGAATGGCGTATGCAGTCCGACAGTTTCGTTACTCAGACTATATTTATGTGTAGAAATTTTCAAAACTCCGGTTTCCTCGTATGACTTTCTGGTGATTTTCTCCAGAAATTTACTTGCTGTCACTTGTACAAAAAACGAATAAATGAGATGACTTTGTGTGCTCAAGACCAAACATAAATTATATTTTATTGCAAACCTCCTTTGATGGACAGTAAATGAAAGAGATGAAGAATGGTCACCAGGGCCTATAATTTGTCTACGATAACCGGATAACAGTCCTAAAATCTGGAGTGGAGAATCACGTTTGGTCCCAGTAGAAGAACAAAATATAACTGGAGTTCACTGCAGCGCTCATGAAGGAACAGTCGATAGTGGTTGCTTCGTGTGGAATTTGTTTATCAGCTCAGGTCGACCGTGGATACGGATTTTCGTCACTACAAAAGTCCTATTTTTATTGAAATACGGATTTAATGTACTCTCGTTTTCGGTGTTAAAATAAAAAATCATAGATTCATGATTGATAACAAAACAACGTAACAAAAATCAGTGTATTCTGATTATTATTGAGTATTGCTATCGAAAAGTAAAAAACATATTTATTCATGAATAATCACAATTGAAGTTAATTCTGAGGTGATTTTTCTGAATTTTGAAAAAATATTTGATCATGAAATTTAACGATGATTGAAAAGAATAATGAAAGTAGCCTGGAAAGGTTTCATTCCATTACCGAGAAAGGGAGACATAGACAGTTCCATGAGGATGTGTGTGGTAAGCATCAAGGCAATGATATAATGAACACGTTACTGGAATAACAAAATCAAAGTACAGATCAGTAGAGGTTGTGTTTTTAGTAAGTTTATCTCCAAGAAAGTCGTAGCAGGATGATGTGAAGGTCTCAAACAGTCGCAGTCGAAAGTGTACCACATCACGCATGAACGGAGTAATAACCTAATCGATTGCTAACAGTCATGTATTAGAGGGAAACGTATCCATCCGTCGACTGTTTGACCACACTCTCCCATTATTTGTTACATAAATGTGATAACAATAGCTTTACAGCTAAGTCACCGTAGACACATGCTTCCTTCAGGATCTGTATTCCGAAACAGTATTATTATTTTGCAATTCGAAGAATCAGGAAATACAATAGACAAAAGAAATCTCGTAGAGTTCAAAACATGTATAGCAAGATTAAAGTGAACTAACACAAGTAAAGACCGAAGATATGCCTTTGAAAAAGTAGCTTTACAAATGGATTGCAATGAAAATGGCATAAGAAAACGGTGATCAAAAGGCTCTCGGCAGGGATTCGGACTGAGATAGTTAAACATCAATACCACTGCACGATCAAGGAAGAACGTATCAACACACACACACACACACACACACACACCAGAGATTGAATTCCATCATTCCAAAAATTCATAAGCTCTTGAAAAATTCCGACTAAGAACTGGGTGTTTTGAGAACAGGCTGTCTGAAGAAAACCCTTGAGGAAATAGCCCGTACAGCACCGGCTTTATTTCCGCAAGATTTCATCTCGAATATCCGTCCGTAATGATTCTGTTCCCTACGTTATCCTTCCTTCTTGTTCAGTTTATGGTCAGGTTCATCTTGTGCTAGACTGAAATAAATTATCCTCGGTTCACTAACCTATTTCCCTTTGATTCGTAGTCAGTTTTAGCTGTACCTTCCGGTTACACCTTGCCAGTCTACCAACCCCTCATGTATGGTGCCTTTACTTAATTGTTCCAAGGCGCAATCGGTCTTATTTTATCATGAATATCTGGTAGTTATGTAAGCGCGAACGAATTAGAAGACCTTTAATACAATAACAACGGAAAGGTCATAATGATGGGTCGTGTCAGAATTGGTTATCGCGCACCGATTTTAGTGCAGCATTCAGGCGTCATATTTCAACAATAATTTGTGTTGTAACTGGTTGACAAGTTTCATCCCCGCAAAATACTTCAAAACTCACGGGTAGAATCCCACTAACCTGATGGTCCGTCTGTAGCCAAATTTGCCCGATATACCCGTTCCATGTTAAAAATATTTTGCAACGCTTGACTGTATAGTTCGGCGTCTGGTGCGATCCACGACGTATATTGATAGCTTGGGAAACGCTCGCCATTTCGACAAGCTTCACGCACAATTGCCACATGGGGCACGGCCCGGTCTTGAGCAACATATGCTATCGCCTCGGATTCCGAACATGTGGCAAGACTGATGAGTGCTTGTGCACCAGCTTCCAATTGGTTACACACTACGGGTGAAAACAAAGGTTTGAAAAATGCATTCCAGATGAATTGAAGTGTTTCGAACTAGTGCTATTTTGATTGCATAATAGCAAGTACCTCACGCGAATAACATCAAAATGAACTAAGTTTTACATAATAAATAGCAAACATGAACAGACCCGGTGTCTTTGAACTTGCACAGAATACAATAAGAATATTTTCTACAGTATAAAATCATAATATATCGGCTCAAAATGAAGCACCTTTGAAGTAAAATCAAATTAATCATTACGCTATTCTATTTAGAAAGCTTCATCGTCATTTTCTGTATTTCTTGAGCAACAAAACACCACTTGCAACTACTTGCTGACAAATACTAAGATAACTTCGTACATTACCAGAAATCAATAACCAAAGGAATGATTCCAGCAAAAAACGAACTAATTTGACTGCTCATTCATTTTCAATATACCCTTAGACGTAAATGGTATAATTT